TGATCCCGTCTCTCGCCATCTTCTGGGTGTTCATGAGATCAAAGGTGATAAGGTCACCGAATGCCTTCAACTTTCGTTTGAAAGCTCCCTTGCTAGTCTTGTAGTGCTTCATCTTTGCTCTCACACATGACTTGCAGTATGGATTCTTATATCGGTGCGTCATCAGGTGCAATATGGATCTCGCTTCATTCTTCAGCACTCCGGGCTTTGACAGTCTAGCTTCTCCATCGACCACATCGACTTCCAATAATCCCTCTTCGTCTTCACCAATGTCACTCTCCTCTCGTTCAGAATCCGCATCACCTCCATGTTCGTCGTCTTCGGCTTCTTCAGGTTGACCATCGTGATCACTATCGAATCTCTGGTCTTCCCCGTCATGTTCCTCTTCAGGAGAATACCTATCATCACCGTGTTCCTCTGGTTCTCCTTCGACGCCTGCGACAGCTGGATTGATATCAGATTCACCATCTCGATCTCTCTGGTTATCTTTCTTCTTTCTCCTCCGTCTCCGTAGTTTCTTGGGCGGAGGATCCTCATGTTGTGCCTCGTGATCTGCTGTGGCCTCGTCTTCATGCCCCACACCTGACAGTATGCGATGAAGTATCGTAGCCAAGCCATCCGATCTTGGTAAGCATCTCCCGTCGTCATCATTCACCTTGATATAGGGTATGTTGTCATGCACCGATAACGGAATCTTGTTCGCGTTCTGGTCGATGAGGTATGGCAATTGATTTGCCGGCCATATGAATGAGTACCCTTGTTCCATGCACCGCTTCCCGATGGAAAAGACTGATGGTGTGCTCTCCAACACGTGTGCCTCGGACATCATGGGTAGCTCGTCCACATTGATGTCCACCATCTCTGATGTACTAGTTACACCATTCGCTGTCATGAAGCTCACGGATTTGGGTCCTTCCTTGGTGGTAAGGCCCATGGAATTGACTTTCTCTCTTGATATCAAGTCGTGTCCACATCCCGTGTCCATGATGAAGCGTATCGGTGGTCCATCATACCTCTCCACAGCCATGAACATCGTGTCTCCCGGTATCGTGCAGTTGACAGAATCCTTCTTTACTACCTCGCTGGTGCTGAAGTCAGACAGGTCGACGTTCACCTCGATCCCTTCATCTTGAGTGATTTGTATCCATGCCTTGGCAATGTGTTCAGCTGAGTATGACTCCATCATCTTACCTTTGGCATGTGCTACTCGTGTAGCTATATTGTTCACTCTGAGGGCTCTCAACGATGTAATGAGCTCGGTATCCACCTTCTGTACCTCACTCTTCTTCTTCCTGAGGGGACGGGTATTTAGTTCGTTACCAGGATCGCAGGGAAACGTGGTCACATTCGCCTGGTCATCGAATCTGACTTTAAAGCGAAGCGCCAACCCACCTCGTCGTATATTGGGAAGTGCTGGTTGCATGTCCTCGTCATCACTCTCGATGTCCCCGCAAAGCATGAAGGCTGGTGCAGCTGGTTTGGGCTTGGCTTTGCCTTTAGCCTCTTGCTTTGCCGCAGGAGCAGCTTGGTGTTGACGTCGACATTTGTCCCCGAACTTGCACGATCCTTTCTGCCAATTCCAACAGACCTGATCCTTCATTGGCTTAGGGCTAGTGCTCCTACCACCAGGACTCTTTGACCTGTCACCCTTGAGGTTGTCTGGTTTCTTAGCAGAACTTTTGTGCTTCTCCTGGTGACTAAACTTGCATTTGTCTCCTCTAGAACATCCGTTCTTCCCATGGAAGTGGAAAGCGCATCCTATCTTAGACGTGTCTGCCAACGGTCCCCTTTCGGGCTCTTCGTGGTTGACCTTCCACGATCCTGCTTCTTGTCCTTCTTTTGGCGATCCTTCGGATTATTCTGAGGAAGTACTGGAGCGGCGTCCTTCGGTGGATCGGCCTTGGTATTCTTGGGCTTCGCTTTAGGGTCCTTCTTCTCCGCTGGTGTAGCCTTCATGAGGTTCCCAAAAGCTTTTTCCCTTTCTTTCTTATTTGTGGTCTCGATTGATTTCCGTATCCACTTCGCCATAGTCTCCCGTAACTTCTGATAGGTCTTATCCGGATCCTTATCCAACATGTTGTCGTACACAGACAAGTCTAACGCCATAACTTTGGAATCTTTAATCTTGTCCCAAAGCAGGTTGCGGAGTGCTTTGTCAGGAAGCATGTCATCCGCATCCATACCTGATATGATCTCATCCCACTGTCCAAGGAATCTGGATAGTTGATTATCTCCAGGGAACTTCAGATCGAATAAGTGCTTAGATGCATACATCACATCGACGTTGTCGGCACTCCGGAAGCTATCGACGATCAACGCTAACATTTCTCGTCCCTTAACCATTCCCGGGGTTGTGCCTCTCGCACGTCTCTGCATCATCTGCCTCACCTTCAGTTGTACGTCATGAGATCTCTCACCTGCTGCGTGGATAATCGTGTGTAGGGTGATACCTAGCTTAGCATCTATGCTAGCGAATCTTGCTTCGCCCGATGTCTCGAGCAGAAATGGGTCATATGGTGATTTGAAGGCATCCGAGAGCCACTGGATCCAATCTTCTTGTCTTTCGTCGCCCGATGCCGTCACGACTGCCGCTACAACTTGGGATTTCCAAACCTCCAAGTCGTGTATCTTGGGCCATGCTGGGATGTTGATCTTCTCGTGTTCCTTCCGAGATATCTTGGAGCCACCCGAGCTAGAGGATGAAGCGGCACCATGTTCGGTTACAGCTGCATTCTCAGCGTTCATGCGCTCCTCTTCATACCTCTTCCGGTACTTATTCCTCTCATCTCTGAGTCGTGCTGCATGTGCTTCGAATTCCATCATGTCCTGCTGGTTCTGCATCATACCTTCGTAGTACTCCATCGCCTCTTTCTCCTCGGACCTTAATGACTTTTCGGTGCGTTCAAGTTCCGCTTTAAGCCTGGTCATCATCTCATTCTCCACATTGGATTCTGATCCCATGTCTGGTGGTTTCATCTTCAGTGCGACTTTCAGCTGTGCTTCACTCGCGCTAGATTCGATCAATTCTTCCTGAAGGCATTTCAACATCCTCTCTTTACGTAGAATGTCTTCTTCCAACATGTTCATCTTGACCTCAGCCTTCTTGAGTTCGACGTTGGATGGTTGAGACGGTCGGTCGGATCCTTGAGTCCTCGCCTGCGTCAACTCCTCGTTCGCCCTCTTCAATTGTTCTCTGATGGTCATGATGAAATTGTCCTGATTATAAGATCGGTTGTTGAGCTCCTCATTCTCTTCTGATAACCATTTGATCTTGCTTGTATACATTGCTTCCTTCATCTTCATCTCCTCGGCATATTCGTGTTTGTTCCTGACGCTCTGCCTTTGTAGTCCAACTATCTCCTGCCTATACAGATCCCTAATGTTCTCAGCATCTGCGACTGCAGTCATGAGCTCCGTCACAGCTCGATCTCTTTCCGCCGATATAGCCTGGATCTCTTCCGTGCCGATGTTCACGACTTGACTAACCATCTCTGCGCTGTTGCGATCAGCGTACTCCCCTAACTGGGTGAGACGATCCCGCATTGCCACACGATCAGTGTCAATCTGGTATTGCAAATCGTGTGCTGCTGAGAGCAAACAGTCTCTGGATTCTGTAAGTTGGGAGATTCTTCGCTGATTTCCATATCCTTCTACATAAAAATTCTTCGAGGTGTGCCATCACTACTTCGTGGACTTCGGTCTCGTGTTGTATAATCTGGTTCTGTCTCTGCTCACATTCGACCATCCATGCGTTTTGGTGGTTCAACATATGCACTTCGGCAAGTAGTTGTGCACACTTCGCATTGAGGTCTCCATCGGCCCGTGCTAGTTGTAGGTTGTCAGTGCTTGCCCTTGCTCCATCTCCAGCTTCGCTGTCCGATGGCACTGGTACAGTTGACCCATCCTCCAATGCTAGCACTCTCACAGCTCCGGTGTCAGTTCTCCTCCTTGTCTCTCTAGGGCTACGGCCCGATCTCGGTGTCCCCCCCGGTGGTGTCGAGTGCGCTGACGGGGAACGACTTCGTGCTCTACCTGTCGCAACTTCTCTCACCACTGTCAGAGTCTCCGCTTCGATCGTACCTGGACTAGAGTTGTGGGATGCACTCACCCGATCTGCGGCCGCAGCGGCTGCTCCAAAGGATGCAGTGCTGGCGTCGGATTGGTCCATCTCCAGTGACTGAGGGTAACTGATCTATCCGATGCGTGTGCGTTTAGATGGTGTTGTGTAAGGCCGTAGCTCGTACCCAGCTCGAAGGAGTCTGGATACGGCTGATAACCTGCGAACGGATGAAAAGCGTGCCCTAGCCCCGTTCTAGCCCTTAGTTCAACATGAAGCTCGCGCGCTAAAGCTCCTTTTTACCTGGTTGGGCACTTGAGCCAAAATGGTATGGCAAGTACCTATATAGAAGCTATACTGAGACCTCATCTCTATTGACATAATTGATGTTGACAAGTAAAAATCAAGACATATCAAGAATCCAGCAACACCATTAATCTGCAGTGTCAAGTAGGAAAGTAGATCAGCGTTGGCTTTGGGTGAAGCAACAACCTAGAGCATTCACAATATGCAAGGACCAGGCAGGTGTATCAATGGCGCAAAAATGAATCGATCTCAGAGGTCGCCAATGAACATATCAACACTCCAACGAACTAATTATACACAAATGGTCGTCTAAGGTTTGCCGGCAAAAGCACGAAGACACCCGTGATGACATTGACGATAGCGAAGAACCTGAGCTTCATTGCGTTTCCTTGAGGCAAGTACTAATTCTTGACCAATTGATCGTTCATCTCTTGTCTCCCGCTACTCTCAGGTGGCCTTCTGAGCCATTCTCACTTGAGAAGAGGAGATCTCAAGTCAATGGACAGCTCAAAGCACCCTGCATCCCCAAAACTATCACACTATAACAATCATATGTTTCTGCTATATAACTTGAGAGATTATATAATGGTGTTTTCCTGTGTCCGCCCAGAACCTCCAAGCTATCCAACATCTTGCACTACTCTGGCAACATCACCACAGGTTCATGCCCGGGGAGCGTGATGATGACATAGACCACCAGGCATCCACCTGCGAGGTCTCGTAGGTTGAAGGGGAGGCACATGAGACTGGTCAGATGATAGGAGTTGAGTATGTCTTGCATACCAAGCTCGATTCCTGATGCGACATGTCATACAAAAGGAACACTGAATGTGTTGGACCTCCTGCCTAATGGGCTAATTCAGCTGCACGGGGACAAAGCCCTCTCTCTACACATAAGGCGGGACTGTTTAGGCATTCCATCACTTACTGGCTCTGTACAACAAAAAGGAAAAGCACCGAAACAACGGGTCAGTTCCCACCAGTTGTTGGTCTTGCATGTCTTCTGCAATCTCCAAATTGTCTGATCCTTTTGATCCTTCCACCTCATTTCAATATCTCTCTTATATAACCAGTTAGTTACCAGGTAGTGATGATTCTATTTTGCTGTGACCCTGAAATGAGAAGAGTACAAATTTTCATGAGACAAGTAGAACTTGACGAGATGATTGATAACAAAAATCTGAACCAAACAATCTCTGCCAGTTTCTTTTCTGATTCTTGCCATGTCAACGCTACACGCCCTGGCCAGTGCCCACCTGCGAAGACGGAGATCTCCCCCAACGGCTTCAGGGCCACATCCCAGTCGATGCCCCCGGTTGTGGCCATGAAGAGGGTCAACATGCTAGTGGAGATGCTATCCCAATAGTTCCAATAGATCCTCAGGTCAGGGACGGTGGTAACTCGTGATGATTTCCAGTGGAACTTGATGTCTATGGGTGCTGTTGAAAATCTCTTCACGTTCTGCTCAGCAGGGAAACGCTCAATTTGGGCACAGAAACGTAGGCTCCCCAGTGAACCTTCCCAATTGCTGAACCTCTAACAGGTCAATTAGGGCCTATTGAACTGCTACTTTGACCAAGACTTCGTCCCTCAAACACCCAAGCGAGTTGGACAAACAACTGCTGCAAAACAATCCTAAACCCCAAAAGGAACCAGTCAAGAACCGGGAAAATCAGCCGTCGCCACATAGAGCTGCCGCGCCACAGGTTGCCTTGCTCATCAGTGTTGAGGCAACTCGGCACCTCAAGGCTAGAGCATGAAGGGATACGGTTGGTATATTATCTTGGAGGCCTAAGTCTAGTTCCGACATGTAAATGGTTAGCCGGCATGAAAGCTGTACGTGTTGCCGTTCCCTCACCTAAAACAAATATAGTAACATACATCTGCATGGAATTCTTCTGGATCTTAGGAAGGTGATGGGGGTAAGTCTGTCGTCTGTGTCTATCGTCCAACTGAGCTAGTGGTTGGTGGTTAGCATTGAAGACCTGACACCTACAAATGTCAGTATAATAGTAAAAGTTTCTATGAGGGGGCATCGCTTCGGGCGACTGAGTTGTGGTCCAACTTGATCCAACCGTTCAGTGGCCGCAACAAAGTAGTCATCCTCCATAGTTAGTAGAGTTGTCGTTGCTTGTACCAGGTATAGTCTAGCCAGAAATCGATACTGCTACCTCCAAAAGGGACTTGCGCTCGGCCAAGTCCGGCACCGAATTCGGATCCTCCGTCCGCATGATGGCTTGGAAGCGGCACTCATCCTCGGTGCCCCACCAAGTCGGAGAGTCGGAGTCTCTTGAGGGATCAACAAAAATGCAAGGCACCACGAGACACTGCAGTTGGAAGAAAACGACTGATGGATTGTTCCCTTGTTTTCTTTTGGATCACTGTGGGTTGGATTTTGGCATCCTCCACTGGGACCTGATCTATAGTCTGGGTAGATCACTCAGAAGATCCAGCCAGGGTTCACTGCAAAACTCACAACTCACACTTAACTTTTAGACTTAAATCCCACTCTCAGGGTCAAATATAACGATGTGGATCCATGTGAACAAATATAAAGAAAATTGGATCAACAGGTGTAATATACTAGCTGCCTTATTTAGAATCTCAGGCCTCAAAACTCTTGCATCACGAAGAAACAGGTCCTGCAAATCAATTGCTTGCAACTTGCAGGGGGAGAGGTACCCCCCAATCATGGTTTCCCACAAAATCTCCGGCAAAAGCGGGCAATTGGCCATTGCTCACCTGTGCTTCACGACATGAAACTTGGGATGATCCGGGTGTGTAGGCCCGAGCCAGTTCCATTCTATTGACTCATTCCATACCTGACGCATTGAAAGCCCGCTGCAAAACGCCAGGCGTCCGTGACCATCTGTGTGAAGAGGACACCTTGGTGGAGAGTGAAGATACAGGACGCGCAAAGGCCGAGACTGGTAGACACTAAATGACTCTTCTGTTGTCCAAGATTCAGGCTTCGCAAGAAGAAGTACATGTCGAAATCGGCTCTTCGTGTTCAAGCCAGAACAGGCATGCCCTAAAAGGTTTACATGCTCTAAGTGATGGCCCCAGTACAGGTGTGTAAATGTGGTTCTTGACGACAGTAAGCGCCAATATCCCAAACGAAAAGAACATCTTCTGTTCAACAGCACGTCTTCACAGAAGACCCTTGACCATCCCCATAGCCTTGTCCCAGTCTCTCCCATCTTCAGACCTCACCGCTGACTCATCGACCTATCGCCGTAAGTTGCATCAGGGCACCAAAGGAGTAGAAGAGCAGAAGCAAAAGCACTAAGGTCCACATCAAGGAGGCCATGCTGCCTGCCGAGGGCTAAGCTGAGGACCCCTGGCGAAGATGATCTTCTTAAGTTACTTAAGACTTCTATACAAAGATTGAGGGTATCATGCGTCATCGTGACAGGGTTCGACTTTGGAAGCAAGATCTGGGCCACCTGGGCTGGCCTGATCCAACCAGGCAAAAGTGATGAGCCCTAAGCTTAAAATGTCAAATACTCTCCTTACAGTGCAGAATTCTCAGAAAGGGGAGGAGACAAAACACTACTCTACTTGAATCATTGAACCAACACACTTCAAGAAATGCCCCCTTCTTCACGGTCCGCCTGTCCCTTCCCTCGTCTTCCAACGGAAACGTGCCAGGCCCCTCATGTGCCACCAAGCGGCTCATGATGGAGAGCACCTCATAAGTGCCCAAAAAGGCCCACGAAGGGAAGTGAGTTCCAAAGCATGTGAAACTTGGCATCTGTTTAAAGCACGAGACTGCCATAGCTTCATAACGCTAAATCACTGCAATCTCTGAAACTCAATGTTTCAACCTTTGCCTTCCGTTTCATCTCTTCCCCATTCCGACTGATCGGCTGTCCAGTCACCAAGGTCCTCAAAGCGCTCACGTAGCGCAGCAGCCGCATCACGCGGATGCCCCGCAGCGCACGCGCCAAGCGGATGGACCGTGCGAAGCGGAGCTGGCTGGGCGACAGCGCCTGGTTCCCTGAGTTCGCCGCTTCGGCGGCCGCCTGAGTGGTGCAGCTACGGTGTGAGGGTACCGTGAGTCACGGGCAGGTGGAAAGAAGACATGACCGCTGACGCGGTGAGGTGGATGTCCTTTTGCTGCGTGTTTTGTTTGGCAAAGCTATTTTGAAAAAACGCACACTAGTATTACATAGTATTACTGTATGAGCTGTTTCTTGTTCTCGTGGAATGATTCTCGGTGTCTATTCAATATGGGTGATTGTCTCCATGACATGCTGATTGTGTTGCCTTTGGAAAATTTTGGCAAACTGTGTTTCTGCATGTGCCTTGGCTGCCTTTGGTCTCTGAATGGATCAAACGTAATGTGGTTTCGCAGGTGTCCCTTCTGCCACCACGGCGCCCAAAGATCCAGCACCGTCTCCAGCAAGGACAAGACGATGATCAAAAGATCAAATAAGTTCCTCGGGCAAAGCGGCAAAGATGAACGAGACATCCTACAAAAAATGTATTGATATTGATATGACTTTATTTGTTTGTAAATACAAAACATACCAAAAATCAGAACACCTGGAAGATGAGAAGTGTCCTGGATGGAACTGCGCTTTGTCAAGCTAGAAATGGAGGCTATGCTTTTGCAGAGGTGGCCTGTGCTTGGATCGTCCAACTTCACAAGCGCGCTCTATTGTGAGGTTTCTGTGGCCCTGGTCCGAAAGGTTTCAGAGGGAAGCGCCAACAACAAAAACCTCCAGATTTCAAAAAAGACGTCTAAAGTAAAGACGGCCGCCCGCTGCAAGAAACACGTGCAAAACTACTAAATCAGTGAAGAGGAAACAGAAACAGGGCAACACCACAGTACTGCAAAAACATGCAAAAACAAACCAAGTCAACATATCTGTGGCATCACATCATCCCACTGCAATCCTCCACCAAGCCTCAGAAACCCTCCACCTCCACCCCCGCCCCCCGAGAATGATCCCAAGAGGCCACCATCGTTCTCGGCCACAAAAGAAGGACGAGAAGCCCTGAACGAGCGACGAAAAGAAAGCAATGGGCCGCAAAAAAGACATGAACTGAATTCTTGAATAACGAACAAATTACTAGTAGCTTCTTGTTACTAGTAGCCATGGATTCCAACCTACTTGCGATGGCCTCCACCTATATATAGTAGCTTCAAAAAGTGATGGAGCTCTAAATTCCCCCCATGTTCTCAGGATTGCTTGGCTGTCTCCTCAACCAGAAGCGGCGTTCTCGAACTCTGCCCAGTAGTAGTTACAACAGATGTTGCAATGCCCGAAGTGATCCGAAATGAATAACGTGTGCTCAACATCCCTATGTCGCAGGTGCGTTCTGTCTTGACCCACACGTTATCATCCGGTTATGGTGTCCTGCGTGGAGAAAGGAACAACCCTCGCGGGAGGAGTCCCTACTTGTTGAAAAGGAACACTCTATAAAATGCAATGTTCAGGCTTTGGCCTTTTTGTCATCCAGGGTACACTCACTCGACCCTGAATGGCATTTTGTAGGTGTAAATGTTCCCCATTTGATAGAGATCCAATCACCTTGGTATGAACCTTCCCCTTCTTTGGGTGTATTCCCCGTCCAGAGTATCGGTGTAATGCAGGGTGCACACCCAAAGCAGGAACCGAAGCAGCCTGGGCATAGAGGTTGACACTGAGCTCCAGGGTGAAGAGCCCGACGACAATGCCTCAAGCCACTGTTGAGGTTCGGTGGGTGGGAAGCCAAGTGGGCATGGCCTTGGCATTTTCAGCAGATTCTCAATGAGACTTTTGTAGCAAACTATCCAGGATGAACCCATTGAGAACTGCACTGGTAGTGCTGACTGTACTGAGCAATTATGGCACGGGACTTTCATCGAGCGCCCTAACTGCAAACCTTCCTATATACCATCAAAACCAGGAGGACACCCTAGCGACCAACCAGAAGACAAACTCCACAGGCTCCATCTACAGTGCGGTACGCACTAGCAGTTCAAACGCTGAACACCCCATCCCTTTCGTTGCAACATTCCTCCTCCTTCTCCTTAACAGACTCTCAATCTCATCACAGAAGGTGCAAGCCACCTTCCAAAAGCTCCAAAGCAACAAGACGCTAACACCGCCTCCCCCAGCAACATGTCACCAGGCGACCATTGCAGAGGCCGAACCAGGTGGGAATATCTGAGATACCCAGATGGGTAGATGCCTCCACCTCGATGCCAAGTACTACCAGGTTGAAGACCTTGGAGAGTGGTGCGAGCTTAAAGATACACCGAACTGCATAGAAAAAAGGGCTAGCGAAACAGGGAAAGGAACACTCCACCAAAAGCCAGCCTGGATGTCCATGTGGACGAGCAAAAGGGGTCGAGTCGAGAAGATTTGTCTTGAAAACCCTCGGCATGAACCAGCTGGCCCTGCATTTTGGGTCAACCGCCTGGGTGAACCCGTGAAACCAAATTAAAGAATCTTCAGCACACCCCCATTCACCATTCCTTGGGTTTGACGGTGACGGTATCACCTTCACCCAGCTGCCAAACAGCCCCTGTTTGGATGTTTTTTTGGATGAAGAGGCAACAGGTAGCTATTGCCTGTTGTTGAGTCCTTTTTGAGGTGTATTCACCAAGAACAAAGACGGGCCTTAAGCTTTGCCAAGGAACAATCACCGAGGTCACCGCGTAGACAAACATGTGCGAGCTCACCAATCGCTTTGCAAAGGCCTTGCAGGTGAACTGAGGCTCCAAGTTCCTTGGTGAGTTGAGATCTGCACGAAAGGCCCCGGTTGGAATAGGGACACCGGCAAGCCAAATGGATCACGCGCAGATTTGACATGGAGGACATGGAGGCCATTGCTATTAGGTTGGAGGCCATCGCTAGTAGGTTGGAGGCCATAGCTAGTAGGTTGGTGATTGTCTTTTGAACTGGTTCTACTGCGAGGCCTGCCATCTGAAAACCCTGAATCGCTTCATTGTTCCCGATCGTGGTAGCTGGCATGCCCGAGGAGAAATCCTATCCCTGTCTCAGGTAAGACCCAAGTCAGGTTGAAGAATTCGTGTGCAAAGAGGGTCCAAGTGTTTCTGGGTCCACACAAAATCTGAAGCTTGGAACCTTTATGGTTGCCGGACTCGGCTAAGCACCACAGCTTTCCATCATACTATACAATCAAAAAACTTAGGAAAAAAGGGGACAATAAACTCAACAAGCTTGCAAACGCGATGAAATCCAGCCCACGTCCCTTTTTCCACAGCTGGCGCGGGAAGCAGCATTCTACTTGCCGCTATGTTTATCTTCTCAACCAGCCATCTGTAATGCAGAAAACCTCAAAGGCTCAATTTAATCTTGCCACACCAAGCCGGCTTCGTCATAACAGGACTTGCCTCGCATGCAAACAAGATCGGCCAACGGGTCCCAACAGTTGTCAACAGCAAATTGTATAGCAAGAATCATTCATTCACAAGCAAATTGTATGGTCCAAGTCTTTCTGTCTTTCAATCAACTGTGCCAATTTGCATCTATCAGGTGTCAGTCCGCTTCTCCTACCAAGATTGGACTTGAGCCCTCAAACTCTTCACTGTTACAGTCTCTTCATAAACCTTCGCCCTGTTGGGACTGGATATCCACTGGGTCCACCGAGGGAACTACACTGCATGGTCGGAGGGAACTACACAGTTTATCTGTAAAGAAAACTTGAATCCAACAAAGGTAGTGCACCAATGCCCCCGATGCAGTGTCTCTATCTGCCAAATGAACTGAGGCCATTCATCCAAACTTGATGTGCCTCCAAGAAAACACACCTCCCCAAAACCCAACGTAGACCCTTGGAAGACCTTTCTACCAACCAGCAATTCCAGCCACCCCCTCCCTTCGGCTACTTGTCCGAGTGGCAGGTCTCATGGGAGATCCCAAACTTCTGCAGATCGCGTTCGAAGATCTCCTTCGCCTTGGCGTAGACCGGCCGATCCAGCTCGTCCACCCAGCCATTGAGGATCCTGGCGAACGCAAGGCCCCGACCCGCACAGGATCTGTCAAAACACTTCTGGGGCAGCTCAAAAAATATATATATGTATATATATAGTTCAATGAGCAAAAAAATCCTTGTGGGGAAAGTAAAACATTAGCAGCTAGCAAGTGGCGAATGGCAGTGTGGTGACAGGTGTCAAAAGAGAAACATCAAGCCCTAAGCATCCCGGCACCATTTTTCAACAAACGAGGTGAACCAGAAACTGGCCACAAAGCTCTTTGAGACCAAGCCACGAAGTGTCATAAAGCGAGGCCTTCCCTCCATGAGAGGGTCGTGTGTCCTCGAAGTCGACGGAGAGGCAAGGGCCACCAAACTTGGCATGGAAGAGGCAAATTGACAGCTCCTTACATCGACACCGGAGACTCAAAGATTCGAGCAAATAATGGGGGTAGAGATTGTACGTAAATCCTTACCCCCGTGGGGCATCATCCGGGGTACATTTTGCAGCAAGACCGTGGACCACAAAACATATCCCACACCACAAGAGGAGAATCCACGAACCTTGACCTAACCCACCTTCGTTGGGTTTTCGCATGCAAATTAGCCTTCAAAACCTGGGACCATGGCTGACCACGGGTGTCATATTGTGACCAATCTCGATTCCTGTCCAAATTTCCCACTCTTCTTGTAGGCCCACAAAGGCAAAGCCCTGCTCCAGCCGTTCGATGGCTTTGGGCACATCCGCCAATGTCAGATTGATCAACGTCCCCACCAGCTGTCCCGTCTCGAAACTCGCATATCTCTGGATAAACTCCTCATAGGGTTCGCGCGAGCGCCGTGGCACGCAGTGTTATGCATCATTAGTTTGTGAGTGGAGATTAGATATACGGTTCTCAAACATCCACTCTCCGTGGCAGCTAGCTTCTTCTTCTTCAAAGGTTTCAAAGAAAGAATAGGGACCGCCTCCATAGACAATTCCTTGGTCATGGTCTCATTCGAGCACGCCGGGATAAAAGGGTCAGAGCGAAAGAGGTCTTTGTCGTCATGGTAGGCCGAGAGCAAGCGCTGCTCAGGTTGACGAAAGAGCCCCACAAAGTGGCCCTTGTATTCTTCATACTTGGAATCCACCAAAAACTGATGAGTAGCTGTGGGTGGCCAATCGCAATGGAGCAGCTTCTGGTCGCACAGGGTGGGGCAAAGCGCGCGGAAGTGCGTCTCAAAGCATTTACCCCAAACAGATTCATCGCCCATGCTAAGATTCACTGGAAGGTCTGGGCACATGCCCGGCAGGTGCGTCACCGTGTTGTAGAAGCTGGTGCCACACTTCGGGATATGAAGCCAAAACATCGGTGAGGCCTTCAACCTTGGCATCACACGTTCATTGTCTTGCCGAAAGAATCCAAAGCGTTTTGGAGGGAGGTACCTCCAGAAACCCTCCAGAAGCTGCTTGTGGACTCGGTCTACGAAGTCTCAGTATGGGATGCACACAACGGGGGTCCAAACTTCCATGTCCACACATGCACAGGAGGCATCCGAAGAAATCATCTGAATGCTCAGGTGGTGAGTCCTATCACAGTGCAAATGGTACCAGCCGAAAGGCGGCTACCTGTTGGGTGGCTGGGGGCTGGAGCAAATTCGAACCTCCTCGTGGACGTGGCTCATGTCCATCGGACGTGGTCTATTCTTCAAGGGCTTCATGTGTTGGAGTCATGATGGGTCAGGATGGGTCAGGATGGGTGGGTCTTCGAAAAGCGAGTCCCTTTCCCGTTTCGACCCGTAACGAGGACACCTCGGCCTCCCACCCAGGCACCGTCTGAGATGCGGGGTCTCCACCTCCAAACTCCTCTGCAGAAGCTCCGTGACTTGGCAGTCCGCCTCTTCTTGGCAACCCAGGTAAATGGGCAGGATGGCCTAAGCTTTGGCCAGCCAGAATCACTACCACCCATTTGGGGGGGACAAGACACACCCAAATAGAATATGTGTTCTGTGTATAGCTTGGCCCATACCTCATGGCAGCTACTATGGAACGAAGATGAGAAGGGTGAACCTTCCTTTCAATTGACTTGGGTGGAAAAACCTGGAGCAACAGAAAGCTGATTGATTTCGAACAGCAACGATGAAAAGGACTCCATGAGCCTTCATTCCCATGGCTTTTCACCAGAAGGTGCAGTACGGTCTCATGCGCGATTTCATGGATCCGAGATGGCTGCAGCACCAGCTCCGGAAGCGACTTCCTGCATGGCAGGGTGGTTAAAGCCTTCCAAGCCACCTCCAAAACCATGTTGAAAAAGAAATCGGAGAAGTGGTTCCACGATGTTCCATGGCTGCAAGCATGCAACTTCTTAAAGGTGCGAGGTTCCTTTCTCGTAAGACAGAGATGCTTGGTGAGGAACCACCTGGTGAAATTAAAGCTGAAACTCTGGGCAGATGGAGTTCCCCAACACCTAGACGACCAGTAGAGCTGCCCATCATCCAACTACATGGCTTAGAGCACCACAGAGGACTTCGTTTGCTAGCATGAAATTTGTGCCTTCACGTTGAATCAGTATGAAGTTATACCTGAGAGGGGTGAGGACGAAAGCCAGCCTCTGGCTTAGGGGCGGCTCTTAGGGTACTCGGGCAACGACGTGGCGCGCAAGAGGAAGTGATGGGGCACCATGAGAGGGGGTATCAGAAATTGACAGTAGAAGATATAGGTCTGCTCCTGACCCCCCTCATGATGCTGATGATGCACTACTGGCCGTCAATTACATCACCGGCATCACAACACCCCAAAAATCACTCATGTTCACTACCAAGTGGCCCGCCTCTTTTTGTCGCTCAAGCCCAGCCTATCGGCTGGCTTTCGTGATAAAAACATCAAGTAATTCCATGTAATTTCAAGCAATTGATCCATGACAAGAAGTGGTGATTGGTTGTCCTATCAAGATTCCTTGCACTAAGATGATTCCTCTGAAATGGAGACGTGGTGGCGTTGTAAGTTTCAACCCTCCTAAGACGTGCCATCGAACCCACTAGCGATGCTCTCACTTGTTAGACACAGTGACACACCCGTGCACGACGATACTGTTAGGCCGCCTAAAGGGATGGGACGCGAGAGAGAGAGAGAGAGAGAGTGTGTGTGTGTGTGTGTGTTTTTTCGAAGGTCCTATTCCCACAATGTCGTTCCAACTCTGAAAAGGAATTTTATAGATTCCACTGCCTCTTACACATCTTGTTCTCAAAGACTTTTCATCTCTCAAGGTCTCACCATGGCTCTGGCTCATCAGCGCAGTGTTCCTGATCTGCGTCAAGCGGTTGGCCGCTGTGTAGGCCTTCTGCTCTGAGCGCTCGAGGAAGCCACTCACGAAGGTGTCCTTATGGACATCCGAGTGGCTGGGTTGCCGGGTGTCCCAGTCTGTGGCTGGGCAGCTGGGCGGAGAGCTGGTGAAACTCAAATTTGGGGTGGCAAGGCAAATACACTTTCAAGAGTTTAGGAATTCCGTAGTTGTCATAGACTCTCTCCTATCCACTCTCAAGTTATTGGAAGTGTCGGGTAAAGTGCAAACACTGGCATTCATGTCTTTGCTTAGGTATCTGGCTGGATGTCAGAGTTGCAAGTAACTACAGTCAGCAACTGCATGTCTGCCAAATCTGCTTGAGCAAGACCACCCAGAACGAGCCCAAATGAATCCAAATGAGCATTTCCAACGGAGTCTTTGCAACCCGAGGCTCGGTACTATCCAGGCTCATCAGGCTTCCGGCTTTGGCCAGACTGCCTCGAGCACGTGAGGCCTGCAGCACGAATCGGGCACCAGAGGTGCACTGGTCCAGCACAGGTGTTGATGCACCCCCCAAAAAAATGCCATGTGTCAGCCTTTCCCTTCGAACATTCGGGGTGTTCCTTCAGCATTCTCGGGCAGGGGAATCGCACCCAGCAGGTCCGTCCCAGACCAACCGGTGTTCATTCTCATCCCGAAACACCTTTGGACCGAGTCTTGCTGAAACCACTATTAAATTAAAGCCCCAGCATTCGACTCGTAACAAAAGGCAGCATGGCTATAGTATGAGGCGGGTGGTAAGAAGAGATACTTTCTGCTTACTGTACTGGAGTTCGATCAAGCAATTTCCACGACATGTCAACAATGTACAAAGAGAGTGTCATGGGTTGTCCTTGTGGCAACAAAATCAGGTTATATATATATAGTAATAGGTGGTTCTATGTCCTTTCTCTCACTTCACCGTATCACACACAAGTCATGAAAACTAGATAAAATATACTACCAAAGCCCATCACAAATCAAGGCTGCACTGCACCACATCACAAATCCTTTGCAGGGCCAGGTATTGCTCTCACACACTGGCTCTTTCAACTGCTTGTGCTTTGTCACATCACAAACAGGAATAAGGAAACGAATTGGCTTCTCTAGTGTCCGTACCAAAGCTTAAAGGGACACGTCCCTTAAAAGCAATGGTGCCAGTAATGCTCCTTTAGCCCTTTGCTTTTCTAGCATTTTCTGCATGCCGATGGGCACAAATTGAAGAATGAACCGGGAGTTGGGTGGTTCATGCTTCAGCTTCAGCAATCACTGGTGCTAGTGGTGCCTCCTCTATCCTTTTGTTTTGTGAATACTTTTGGCATTTTCTTGGCTACGGTCAGTCATCAGTCTCCCTGAAAAATATTTTTGTGTTTGATCTCTCGCACGGGACAAGTTCTTACCAGCTGTCTTCAACTAGGTATTGATCTGGTTGATGATTCTTTGATTTTGATACCGTATACTGTATTCTGATGTTGATACCCCCTGCCTTCGATGATTCAAAGACCAACCCAAAGGTTTCCATGTGAAGAAGTCCTCGACTACTCTCTTCCTCTTTTCAACCTCTTCTGACAGAAACCGCCTCCATCACCTGGACCGTCGCTTCGTGATCCCCCAAGTCCGCTCCTGAGCGGTGGAGGCCGGTGCTGGAGTCCAGGACTCAAATTCAAATTCAAATGGTTGCATGCCCACTAAGACAAGAAGCTACTAGGGGCTCCTGGCCTTACTACTAGGAGCAAGGACGCTACTGGGGGCTCCTGGCTGTACTACTAGGAACAAGAAGCTACTAGGAGCATCCAGACCTGTGCCACCCAAGACTCGACCACCATTGGAGTCGAGGGTAAAAGATGTAAAAGGAGTCCGGCTGTTTAAATGGTAAAGGCTTCGCACTTGTTGATCAGTTCGGGACCTGGAATGATATGTCAATATATTGCTGATCTCCGTTGGGGTAGCGTCCTTTGGTGAACGCAAATGTGCCCTGAATGAATTGTGGTGGGATATATAGGTACTTGGCTATGCCCACTACCAGAACTGGAGTCTTCTTGCATAGCATGGAACATTCCGCTCAAGCATGCTTCCATGCTTGACACTCACCATGCTGCACATACATTTCCCCCGTCGGTGATTGCATCACATCGGGCCGCAGGGTCAGAAAGCTGCTCCAATCCGACATTGTAACCGCCATTTTCACTTCGGAGAAAATGAACAGAACGCTGTATCTGCAGATATCTATTGTTGATTCCCTTGATTGCCAGCCTTGCCAGCCACCTTTCGACCAACAATTCACACACCTGCTTTCAGAGGAAGCAGATCCCAGATCGGCATTGGGAAGTCTATCAACGGCCATGGCTCCGATCTCGTTGGCGTCTTCGTTCTGTGTCTCCGGTGACCTTCGCTTGGTGCGACGTAGAGAGAAATCCACCGATGATCCATGATCATCTTGCTCCTAGTAGCGATGCCAGGAGCCCCTAGTAGCTTCTTGTTCCTAGTAGTAAGGCCAGGAGCCCCTAGTAGCGTCTTTGCTCCTACAAGTAAGAATCAGGGGGTAGAAGTGCTCAAGCATTGGGGATCTCACATGTTTGCAGATTTTGTGTCAGGGTAGCAGCTGCAGAACAGGACAAGCCCTTAGTTTGCTTGACAATGGATTTGGCTGAGCTTTGGGCTGCCTGACAAAGCAAGCAAGTCATATCCATTCACCCTTGTCAGGCAAGCATTTCTGCTTCAATGTCTTTCTCTCACGCCGTCAGGTCGATCAAGTTCACAAGTCCGGCTTACGTGGAATTGGAGTCTGAAAAAGCCTTCCCGTGAGAAAATGGGCGCACACCCTCACCAGTCTCGGATTCTACAGGGAAGGGTTGTAATAATTTGAAGCTTGAATTGAAGTGCAACTTTTGTCTGGTCGATATTATTTGTGTTGCACAGTCCACACACGTGGAAACCTCCTTTGCAGCACCACCATCTACTGTGCACCTCACAGGTTGATTTCACGTTCAAGCCTTTCTAGGGTTCAGCGCTCAATCAGCAGTGCCGCTGGTTTACGCGTCAGAAGAACACGGGTGTATTCGGCCCAAGCCACTGGCTGGCGTCTACAAATGAAATGCGGGGCAGCTGGACACCTCAGAGAGGGCTGTTGAGCCCTGGATGAAGAGATGGTTTGATCATATTTTGATCCTTTAGAGCTAAATACACTCAATTATACAGTAGACACAATAGCAGCATCGCACTTGTCTTTTTGCGGATGCTTAGGGAGATTGTCCTATCAATGCCAGGGTCGCTAAGGTCCAAGTCTCACTGTTTGATTTGATCGGAAGAATCAATGGAAATAACTTTGGTGGCCAAGTGGTATTGAACGGCAAGGCAGGCCACACGTCACACTTCCAAAGATAGAATGATCTCGAAAACTTTCAGATGTGAATCTGCCAAAACGGACTCGCCGTTCAACATGACTCACCTTTGCCCAACACAACCCAGTAAGTCCGATGACTTGACTTCGCTGCCGAGCGGCCCTTCTCCGAGCTGACGCTAGCCTGCGAGTAGGTGCCGTCGATCAGCTCGTGCTCCGGGATGGAGGCCGTCCAGCCTGCCGAAGCGCCGATTCGGCGCCCCACCAGTTGCCCCAGTGGAATGGTCGCGTCTGGTGGTTGGGACGGTTTGGATTCAAATGGACACAAAAAGCATTCTTCTTGGCTGTCTGATGGATCTGTTGGATTTGAAGAACTTAACGGACCTGATGGCTCCTTTGCACGATTCCTGCGCATGTAACGGATGTCGGATGCCCATCCCTGCACTATAAATGTTCAGGGTGGCTCGTGTGGATCAAGGGCATGTGCAGACCAATGATTCCCTACAGTCCGACAGTGCTCAACGAACCCACACTCCATGACTCCACATAGTATATTACTTGGTTGACTCACCTAAATATCAACCTCACAGTGTTGGTGGCTTACATCCTTACCATCCCAAATCAGGTGTGTCACAAGAAATTTGGGATGGGAGATTCTTCAATGTTCAACTGCCTCGTGGTTCAAGAACGAGGCAATCCTCCCATTCTAGGTCTGTGACTCAATGGAAGGCAGTTCTTTTTGATGGCCTGGCGTGTGCCGAGTGCTGCGCTGCACTTGGCACGTCAAATCCCGCAGCAAGCCCCGCTGCTCCTCGAACTGGCCCAAGATGAAGCTTTTCCTCGGGCCGGGACTGAGAGCCCTAGCAATGCCTGTTTCGCTGAATGACTGGTCGTCCCTTCGCTCAAACAAAACGCCTCAGTCGGGAGAGTTCGGCATTGATCGGATGTCATCACACGGAACTAAGGAAATCTAGTAGAGATGTCGATGTGTTCTGATGTGTTCTTTCCTCATATGTTCCCCCTTGGATGCCACTCCAAAACCCTCCTATCCCATCCCATTGCGTCCAACGGCAATTTCTCCATCTCATGCTCTAGCCCATCGCCGCTCATGGCGACGATAAGGGTGATGGACGCCGCGGTGGTCGAACAGTTGAGCACGCCCTTGAACTAATCTCTTAAGAGCCGAAAAAGCAAGAGCGGGAAGGTGCTCAAGATAGACTTGCAACAGTGAGCCAACTTGTTGATGGTTGCTATTAACAGTTGGTGTACTAAAGCAAACTAAGACGCACTACTACAAGTAGGTGGAGGAAGTGCAAACATGCTGGTTTGCAAAGGAAGGCCTAGACCCCTTTAACTCGACCAACTCCATCGGCTTAGAGTTTTGGTACGTGTTTCTCATAATTCGAATCTCGTCGAATAGCTTAGGTCCAATATGGTGTCGTCACTTCCTGAAACAGCGGCGGACCAACTCTGGACCAACTACCTCTCCTCTGAAGCAGGTGAGCGCGTCCAATTTACCTCATAGCCTCATAGCTCATCATGGCCCTGGCAAGGATGGCTGACGATCCTACACAAATATCAAGGAAATGTTGGGCTATATAGTATGAATTAATTAATTACGATATGTATGTTTCGACGTCGACATCTGAAAACGTGTTTACTTTTTACTGCAACCCCCGGTTTCAGCTCCCACCGGAGCATCCCACGCCTCACCACGTGCAGAGCGTTTCCCTCTCTTGGCGCTCTTGCTCTTGGCGCTTTCCGAACTCTGCGGCCCTGCGCTGAGGCCCAGGTGTGCCAGTGCCACGTGTACCAGGTTCCCGGCCACAAAAGGCGAACGGCTCGAGACCTGCGACGTCGCTGCGGGCGCGGGAAACGCATACTCGGTCGGTTCGATATTCTTAAATGTTCGGGAACGGAAAGGAAAGATTGTCAACATCAAACCTCTTGGTCGTCTTCCCGTCTTGCAATCTCCCAGCCTTTTCCAGAAAAAGACGGCGGTTCGCACGAAAAAGCCAGCCTCGACCTTTCCTCCGGACGACCACAACAGCACCGGCAGCAGAGATCCAGGTGCTAAGCTCTTGCAGAAGTCACGAGCTTCCTCGCTGGGCGAAGGAGTGCATCCAACATGGAAAGTGTCCAACCATTGAAACCCCATGAGGTCCTGAAACCGTGAAGCCAGTCCTGAGGGTGGCAGCCTTTGGCTCTTGAAACCAACCCCAAAGTGGGCAGACCTCTCCAGTCAAACCACAAAACCACCAAACTGCCCGCCATACACTCCATCAAATCCTCCACCGCCCGCAGACTGCCTGGTCACAGTCGCAGCACATTGCGCCCACCTTGGCGAAAGGCTTCGAGCCTGAGAGTTGTCCCCCGTGGCGCACGCGGAGCTTGTACTTCTCCTTGGCAGCACAACGCACACTTAACGTGCGCATGGTGGGCGGAGGACAGCACAGTGACAGCTGCAACGGAAGCGAGGAATTCTCCGTGTCCACACAGAGTGATCCACAAACATCGCATCAGGAGGTACTGTATCCATAAACATCACTCCAATAGTCAACGCCAAACATCAGTCATCCGCAGCCCCGACCATCTCGCCCAGCATCCGCCAGCGCTGCCAGGCGCTCGGGCCGCGAAATCCGCGTGGCGCCACCACCGAGGTCCTCCGCGGCGGCGGCAAGCGGCGTTTGGAGGCGCTTCAACGACTTCGCGCGGGAGGCGTAGAGGATCACCAGCCACGGGTGCTTGGCCTCAGCCTGAAATGGTGTCGCTGAGTTGAGCTGCGGGAGACAGCAATCAACCCTTGGAATGGTTGGGGGGCGGCTGGTGGCTGGTGGACACCTGAGCAAGGAAGGAGGGGTGTAGGTGTGGCTGTGGTGGAGACGGAAGTACACTGCACAACGGGCTTGATTCTGATTCTGCCAATTGAACTGGTGTAGAGGCAAGACATGGACACAGGTTGTTGAAAAAAAACAAGCAAACTGTTTAGTTCGCGTAGTTAGCAGTCTTAGCGACAAATTGTCAAATGTGTTTCCCTTCAATACTCCCACAAGTCCGTCATTGCACCCACCATACCACAACCCCACCGCCTCTGGGAAATGCGCCTTGCACAGGTTCACCACTGGCTCCTTGAAGACTCCTGCGCGACTGCACTTCGTGTAGCATCGAGGACCAACTGCTAGTCATCAACACGTACAGCCGATGGATGGGATATGTGTTGGGATGATGATTCTCATGTATTCTGACCTCTATTCTGGCCTCTATTCTGACCTCTATGTGACTGCAATCATACCTGTGATCTTCTACACGCGGCCTGCTCCGCAGCGTGCCCGCCGCGAGGCACCGCTGCCTACGGTCGTTCGCAGGAAACGCCGCAGCTCAGCGTCGCTGGCACCAGCCTTGTACCGCGCCTGGAGCCGCGGAGAAGTGTCTCGGTCTAGAAGCGTTGTATGAGAAGCAAACAGAATGAGAGAGTTGAAGCGAGCAGTTGAGCAATCAGCGGGAAGAAAGGGAATCAGCTCACTGAGTTGATCGACATGGAAGAATGAAGAGTGCTTCTTGGCGGTTGTGCGATTATGGTTCATTTTGGAAAGCATTCGTATCGTCTATATAGTTGCTTTACAACGACATTGTTTCACAAATAAAGTTTATGGGCCACTGCACTCAAGGGAAACAGGAAATACTGCAAGTGTGGCTAGTCTATGATCCATTGAATCATTTCCAAATACCCCCCTTCATCAAACAAAATGATATATAAGTGTGCCGTAACCCGCAACTATATCACAACTTTCTCTACAAGAGGACATCCATACATCCCAACCTTCCAGGTCCACTCACAGCCTCATGTCCTTGGCCGATGGCGAAAATGGTGGGGTAGCCCGTGACGTTGTAGCGCTTGCAGAGTTGGTGGTTCGACTCCTGCAACGGCGACAGTGTGGAGAGTCTGCCGCAGTGAAAAAATGGGTCTACGAAGCGTCTTCGAGTTCCCGAGCTTTGTCTGCAGTCCTGGTATGTCGTGATCTCCGCTCCTGTGTATGAATCAAACGTAATACTATAATCATACTAAGCTTCATCCCAGTCTGAAATGCATCCCTTAAAGTTGACCCCATCCACAATGGAGGTCACTTCCAACTCATTTCCTTCCACATCCTCATCACCCTGACGTGGCACCCTGACATACCTCTGCTCCCCCCCACTGCTGCCCGGTCCTCGGGGCAATCCACCCCAGCCACCGTCAACGGCCGATTCGGGAGGCCGAAGATGTCGTTGCTGGTCCGCGCGAGGTGAAGCAGCAAAGGCTTCAGCCTCCTGGAAAAGGCGGAAAAGCGGAGGACTAGAGGCAGGGCGGGGGGGGCGAGGGGGGCGATTCGGAAGGATAAATAAAGACCGAGTTCGATCCTCTGCATGTGAACCATGTAAACCATAACATTTGTCGGCCAAGATGCTCACAGTGCCCGCAACGAGGGGAGTAGAACATGACCTCAGGACGATAGCTTGGCGATAGCTTGGTCCTCCAAAACTCAAATCAATTGATGTGTACTTGAGGCTTCAAAAGCCCCTTGAAACAAACACTGTTCTATGCAGGCAATTGCATGTCTCATATCTTGCAGAACTTTGCGTCAAAGATGGCCCACCTTTTACAAGACAAAACGCCTTGGCCACTTCCCAAACTGCATGACTTCGACCAAGGCGCCAAGTAGAGCCTGCTAGCATCGCGTCCCGGCCAATCGCTCGCGCAAAGGTTCACCTCGGGAGCTTCTTCGCAGGTTAGCGGATTCTGTGGTTGAAAGAACATGCAGTGTGTTGGCAATCCCGGGTGACTTTCCTCTGAAGACATGAAGCCTTGAAGCCTTGAAACCCTGCTGACGACCTGAAGCCTAGTGACGACCTGAAGCCTTGAAGACCTGAAGCCTCTTCATGTCTTCGTGTCTTCGCGTGTCTTCGGGTCTTCGCGCAAAAGTCACAACCCGCTTCTGCCAACGCAATGAGAACACGACTTCGGTTCAAACCTGTACCCAGGAGTCCAGTGACGGCAGTCCAGGCCCTGTATCAAGCGGTCGAGCTGGGGGCCGTTTTCTCAGATTGCTTTCACAACACCGCTGTCAGCTGCTACTGCTCTCTGTCGTGTGGCCATGGGCGGTGGGAGGTTGCCGGTGCAACTTGCTGCCACCAGGGAGGCACACGCCGTCAGAAGCAGCTGTCGCATCGCGAGGCGCTTTCACGGAATCGCACAAGGAAAGCGCTGTTTTGTTGGGGGCCCTTGCCCTAACACAATCGGCTTGAAAGTGAAGGACCTTTTGCTCCACAATGATTCTGGACTTTGCAATATGGACTCATATGCTAGGATGCGACTTGCACAAAAAAAATATGCAGCAGGCATATGCAGCAGGCCTTTTTTTTCGGCATGCCAAGGCTACAAATAGGATTTAGTCAGTGAACTGCTTGGGTGAGGTACGTCCGCAAACCAAGAACTGTTCACTGCAATGGCTGTCTCTGCAATCAGCTGCATGGTTCAAGTCCAGCGTGTCTTGAGATCCAACTGTTGCTGTCAAAAACAAGCCAACATGAAGCGGCAAAAGAACGGTAGAGGAAAGTCAAATGGTTTGAAATGCCAGAAACATGAATATTTGCCTGAAACTAAAGTAGATCAGAAGCATTGACTTGGACTTGGATGATCTGCACACGAACCCTTGCTGGGCTTCGCAGTAAGTTGCACAGCAAGGTTGTTGGCCAGAGCAATTGACCTCAAATAGGAATGCTTAGTAATTAATACAGGTGAACGGTAAACGCTGGGTCCATGGTCTACTCCCACCCCTCTGCGACCTCCCACCCCTCTGCGTCAGCCTTGGTGACCTCAACCAAGTCCTCCGACACGACTCGTTGACACGTCCGTCGTCGCATAGGGTGGCATGGGGTTTGTAAGAAACTGCTGCGATCAGAATGATCAAAGGGTTAAACTCATAAATGCAAACGTCATGTCTCATAAAAGCTTCCCCCGTAAATGTTGATCTGCCAATGTCATTGGTCAATGATGAGTGATGTGCTTTGGATCTCACTGTCGGTGGTGCGTTTTGCATCGTCCGAGTTCTGGATCATCCTGTGATGTTTGGTGTCTGGCCCAGCTCCTTCAGGGCAGCAGCCAGTGTACCCCGGCAGCAAACGCGGCCAGAACCCTGGCCGCGACGTGGGCTCGGCCAGTGCCATTCCGCTGTCATCCCACAAATGAACAAATGTTCAACAAACTGGTCGGACTAATCGCACCCTTCCGGGATACTCTCCTGTTCGTCTGGTGGTGTACCTCAAAAGTGAATCTCCTCCAAACACTCAAGAATCAAAATCCCAGAGGACCTGAACCAACTGTGATCTGGAGGCCTTTTTGGTATCCGTGCCCAATTTCAACTATTCTCAACAGGCTACGGCTCACAGCAGTCTAGTTTGGCAAAAAGGTATGCTTTAAAACAGTACATTGCCACGAACTCACAGGAAAAGGATCCGAAACACCACTGACAAAGCCCGCACTGCAACATCCTCTAGCAGCATCTGTAAAAGTGTCACTCATCAAATGGTAGGCTTTGTCCTGATAACATACAAATAAAGATCAAAAGCATAGCAGTGAGTCTGGACGGTGTCTCCAACTGTCTCCAGGTCTCAGGCCTTAAGTACACGTGTTTCTTTTATTTCAAATAGAGTGCATAGTGCATGGCGCACAAAACTCTACTCCACTGCCTTCTCGTACTTGGCACCGACAATCACCACCCCGTCATCTGGACCTCGAAGTCTCTGATTCATGCCGTGCTATCGAGTGGAGATGCCGAATCCGCCGACCCCGTGGTGCAGCAAGGGGGAGCGCGCCCCGAAATGGTATGTTCTGTTGTATCAATTGTGGCCATAAGGTGTGCTACTGCTTCTTTATCTAGAAATCCCACCCCGAAGTGTTTTGGTGCTCGGTGCACAGGTTTCTGTGCCCCTGCAACAGTGGAATTGCCTGCCGAGATCCCAGCTCGAAGTGTCTTTGGTGCTCGGTGCACAGATTTCTGTGCCTGGAACAATGGAGCTCTGTGCCCCAACAGTGGAATTCCTGCCAGAACCTTGATTTTTTTATTCCGTTCAGGAGTGACGTTTGGCCCGGGCAGAGGGACGGCAGGAGGCTGTTTCGTCACGC